GGGGGGAAAAAAACCCCAAAGAACAACTAAACTTTATCAATGGGAATCTGACGGGCCCGAGGGGCCCCTATCAAGTCATCACCGAGTACATCAATAGCCCACACGGGGGTATTTTCAAAAAAGCAAATGCCCAAGTCAAGATTGTAGCTCCATCTTGCAAGACAGTCAGCAAGATAATTCTTCTCTCTGTAGACATGTTGAATCTGATAGTTCTCAAGCTGCCTTAGGAGAGTACCGCAGCTATGCAGCAGGCCAGCCAGAGGATGAAAGCGGTAAGCCACAGTTTGCTGGATTAGCTGGACACTAAGTGCAGAGTCCATTTCAATGATGAGCATGTTGACACCTTTATCCAAAGCCACAAGAGTTGGCTTGTATAATTAATTAATTAATTTTAATTTTTAATTAAATTTAAATATTAAAATAATTATTTTTTAGTCTGATATAGCATCAAACATAGGCCTTCACTATTTTTATAATCCAACTTCTTAGTCCGACGCATCACCAAACATAGGTCAGTACTTAATCTAACTTAGTCCAATCCGGACTAATCCAGGACAGTCCCAGGATTTAGTCCAGTCCATGACAGTCCGACGTACCAAACGACCCCTTAGAGTATTAGTACCAGTTCCCAGTATTATTGACGTTCTTTTTGGTACAGGATGACGCTCATATCTTCTGCAGGGAGTCCCAAGTGAGTTGACCTTACTCACATACCTCCTAGCATTTGAATTTTGTTTTTGTTTTTGTATTTTTGCGGTTTCGTTTTGCTCATAGTACTACTATGTCTCTATGTTTCAGGTGAAAGATGAAGTGAGGGGTGTCTTAGAGTTTATCGAGTATCAGTAGGCAAGCCTTGGAGTCATTCAACATGGCTTGACTTAATTGAAATGGCTTAGGTATTTGTTTAAGGGAAAATAAGAAAGGACTGACTCCCTAAATGGTACCCTATAAGCAATAGCCACACCAAACTAGGAAACTGATAAAACAATGGTGGCTGCATAGTCTCTATTGTTAGAGGAGACAATTTATTGTACCAAAAATCAACTTAGGGGACAAATAAAAATTAGTACCTAGTGTGATTTTTTTTAGTAGTGGGGTGTGGGGTGTGGGGTGTGGGGTGTGG